ACGACGAGCGGTAAACATCTAAATGATCTATTGCAATAACTGACCAACGCGGAAGACTTGATAACAAAGAGGATGTAACCCTAGAGTTCCTTACGTTGACGTATTTAAGGATATTCGCAGTTGCTGCCTTGGAGCGTGCAAAAGGAAAAATCGCGAGGTGGCCTTTCGAAATGGGGGAAAAAAAGATAGGAGAAAAAAAGAAGATCGCGCATCACTGACGCGGCTCGTCGAACGAGCAGCACGCGTTACGAGCGTCTGCTTTTTAAAGCTCCTCCCTCGTTGTAGCGTCATTATATGCTCCGATAAGTCCGGTAATGCCCTTTAATAAGTAAGTAGCTCCGGCCAGCGAGATGCTGGAAAAGAGCAATTTGTATTTGACGGCTCGACATCGTGTAAACTGCGTCTATTAACGAAGTCAAAATTTTTATTTCCCCCCCCCCCCTATAAATTTGCGAGGAATAATCAGCTTAAACGTAACGAACGAGTATTACGGGAACGCCCCGTCGCGAGTTGCGTTCGCGTGGAATAATAAGTACGATCGATCGAGCTAATGCCGGTGGAATATTTCACAATAATATTAATAGTCGTATTGTACGGCAATAATTGTTAAGCGTATATTCGGTGGCTTCAACGATGCGAGAGGCGTAATTGGATGATGGAAAAATATCAAATCGGATATTTAAATACCCGCGTCGCGTCGTTGCTGCACAACAATACCTTCGGACTCTTGTCGATTGCATATTTTTAATCCCTTCGATTAAATCCACTAAATATTGCATGAGCCTATCATCGGCGCGACATGTGCAATAATTTATCGCGCGCGTCTATTTATCGACGCACTATTTCTGCATCAATGTACACAATTGTATCGAAATATTGCGTCGCGCGATACATATATGTATATGAGCTTTGAATCGTCGTCGCCTCGCGCACCCCCGGATTTTATCCAATCGAATTTACATAATTAATCACCTCGCCGAGAAAACAACCGGTAGTCTCATTAAAATTCATCCAAATGAGTACACGCGAGTTTCTATGTATTATCTAAAATTAGTTGACGCCAGGTCGTTTATTTCACGTCGGATCTGTTAGCGTCACGTGTAAATGCAGTCCGCAGGCAACTCGAAAATATATTTAAAAAAAAAACGTAATTTATCGATAAGACAGTTACACGGTGAGTTAAGTTTTACGAGCCATTCATTACAAAGGAGATCCAGATAATTTATATATAATTGGAGCGAGACTGCACATTTCAAAGTGGAGGTATACGTAGCTGAGAGATGTGCGATGGCACGGTGTAAAAATATACTCCACGTTGAACCGGAGTTTGATCTTTGCCCGCTGAAAATTTCATCAAAGACCAAATGCAGCTTACGAGTTTTTTTCTTTTTTTTAAAAACATTAAGTACGCGTCTCAACAACCGAATCTCGAATTCAACTCGTCTTGGCTCAAGCACGTGAGGACTCGACGTCTCGCCCGAGGAGGCCGAGAGAATTTTAATCCAATAAGAACGCAGAGCCGATGACTTTTGGGAGCCCGATCTCGATCTCGCGATCCGGCGAGAAAAATAGTATCGTGTGCCGTTTGGGTAAATTCGTGCGAATGAAAATCTCGCTGGAGGCCCGCGTCCACGATCCAAGAACCGGGTCCGAGTTCTAGCTCCGAGAAATGCGCGGCCAATCGACTTGCAGCCTTTTTGGAGTAGCCTGGACCAACTTCTAGCCTCGTGGACGCAGGCCTCGAGAGTGAGATCGATTACGAATTTCGATGTCCGCGCGGACGACTGCCCGTACCGGAAGCAGAGAGAGAGAGAGAGAGCGAGAGGGGGGGGGAGAAAGAGCGCTGACGGGTGAGGAAAGGGATGGCTCTTTTACGGGTGGGCTCGGTCTCGGCGCCGTTTATTGCCAGCCGTTAAAGGCTCTTCGGCTTACTAACGACACCAACGGGTGTCGCGCGGCACAACGGAAAGAGTCGTCGTCGGCATACAAAAGTCAAACTCGCAATACCTCGTGTGCAGGTCGATAAATAATCCTGCGGGGGCACCCGCGCCGCCGCCACCGTTGAGTCCCGACGCCGCCTGCACCGTGCGCGCACACATGCACGCGCCTGGCGTGTGTATCCTTTGTCCCACGGCGGTGTGGTAATCCGACGTGTCCCTCCCGTGCCGGCGTACACGCCGGGGGTAGGAGCGACGAAGAGGCACGTATAGGTGAAAGAGAAGGGGAGCCGTACGAAGGCGGCAAAAGCCGGAGCGCACTTTATTATTTACGTATCCACATTGGCCGGCGAGGGGAAGGAACAGGCACACTCGCTCACTTCATTCGCGCGTAAGAAGAGAGAACGAAGAGAGAGAAAAAAAAAGAACGGTGAAGAGGAAACGGACGGATATACGACGACACTCCTCCGGCACGTACACACACATACACGCACGCACGCACACTCGCGCGCGCGCGCGCACACACTCCTCGCCGATTACACCGCCGGGCTACGTGCGGTCACGCACGTACACACATATATAGATACATACATATACGTATACACATGTGAACACTCTCGCCGCTCGGCCGCGTCGGCCGAGGATGCCCGAGCGCTCCGGCCGAAGGACCTGGCGAGAGCGGAGCGCGGCGGACAGAGAAGCACGCGGCTGACCGACGCACATACACACACACGCACACATGCGCGCGCGCGCGATCCACGCTCCGACGTGACCGTCGCCGCGCGAGAAGCGAGCGCGGGTAAGATTATCGCGTCTCGGAGCCCTGCGTTCTCACCTCGCCGCCGCGCCGCCTGCGTCGGCCGTTAGCGCGTCGCGGGAATGTTTTCGGCGTCGCGTCACTCGAACTGTGGTCTCGGCGCGCCGCGTCGTAGCCGCTCGAACGTTTGGCGTTCACTGAGCCGATGCCTGCCCCTTCCATCGCGCCCGACGCTGCCATCGCCGTTACCCCCACCACCACCACCGAGTGGCGATGCCTGGCGGCGACGACGCTGCCTCCGTACGGCGGCGCACCAACACACGGCCGCGGAGCGCGTGGTTGGCATGATAGCCGCATTTGTCAAAATGATTCTTTCCTCAAGGGGAATATCGTTACAATTGCGGTTCGTGTAGTATTGAATTCAGCATACAATCGCTACGTGGAACATTATGTTTCCGCGCGCATAAATATCCGAAGAGAGATGACGGTTGTAAATCGTCGTAATTGTCGCGTGCGATTACGCGTGGTGCGGTTGTACGCCGCACAAATAAGTTGGGATAAAGAGCGCAAACCGATCGCTCGATATTAAGCGAATCCCGCAGCACCTCGAGAGAGCCTCTCCCGAGAACGAATTATGCGAGTGAATTTCGACTCGTTGTTGCTGTAACGGAAACGTAAAAAGATTCGTGGGGAAAGTCGAAGCTTTCAGCTTTCGTTGT